GGTGGATAACATTAGGGTTATGGTTAGGGACACGGGTATACAACATCAGGGTTATGGTTAGGGTTAGGGATACAGGTGGATAACATCAGGGTTAGGGTTAGCGATAGAGGTGGATAACATCAGGGTTAGGGTTAGGGACAAAGGTACCAGCCTACAGTAGGTTGTCGGGTACTCTGCGAGGCGATCGGGCCGATTTCAGCCCTGTTTTTTTCTGTTGTTCACGATCCTCTGACAGATTATCACCTTTTGTTGGTCTCTAGTCTCCCCCAATAACCTGCTGATCTCACAGAATTCTGTAAATATTGTTCAATATCATTCTGTTTGGTCTCGAGCTTTGCTGCTTTCTCTGGTCATCTCAAACCGCCCACTCTCCGTTTCCCGGAAAACATGGAACGAGCTTTATTTCCACACAGCTGTGCTCTTAAGCACCACCAGGATCCTGGATTCCACCTTATTAAGTACCTAAACATACCTAAACATAAGTCTTCACGAAGCGTCCAACTTATCGATCACGTGTCACTGCAGTGAGGGGCCTTTCTCACAGAAGCTGCCAATATCCAGCTAATGCTCCACGGGAGTACTCCAGATGCTTTGTTTCATTCCAACCCGATCACGTTTTCACACTGAAACAATCCCAAAACACACAGTGATGCCTTATTGGAATAGCTTGGAGGTGAAAAAAGGCAGAAAATGGGACTGAATGGGAGTTGTTGCATAAAATATTAAATGATAATAAATCAAAATAGTGATAAACTGAGCTTCTCCCCCACACATAAGCCAGTTGGACTCCACAAAATGATGTGGAAACCCTGCTGTTCAATGGCTCACTCACTGTGACACCGTGTGGTCGAGGCCTCGGTTTGATACGGTTTTGATGTCGTTTCTTTTTGTTAGTGAGGTGACCTCGCGTGGCCTGAGGACGCCTCCAGACACGAGGAGGCCTGGATTGGGCGGGGTGCGGGGGGGGGGGGGACCTCTCACGCTGGGGCTCCGGAGCAGACTTGGCTGCGGAGCGGGAGACTGACAGGCTGCTTTCACAGCTTCAGCTCCGCCGTGTGAAGGGATAAAAATACAAGCGTGACAGCGAGCGAGGAGAATTTTTTTATTGGACAGCGTGAAATCCAGCAGGACTCCTCCACTCAGGCCCCATCCGGGGGGGCAAATTGGGATTAAAAGAGGAAACGGGGCCGTCTGGTTTTCTGTGGAAAGGGCCTCTGGGGGCAGGTCGTGGATAGCTTTGAATGGCACGCGGAAAAAAGGGCGCTTCTAAACGACTGGCTTGAGATGTCGTGTGTAGTTGTGTAGTTTTGTGTTGGTCATCTGCTGGGGGACCCATTAAAGCTCCTTTTAATGACACGTTCTCACACTTTGACCTGCAGACCAGCCAATGAGGTGGCTAAACTATGCTGAATTATAATTTTAATTGGAAATCAAGTAAACTTCACTCACTGCTAGCTTAGATCTAATTTCTTCTCAATCATATTCTTAACCTTTAGGGGTCTAAAGACTCGTATCTGCTCTTGTAGTTTTGTTTATTTTCTGCACAGTTGGACCTTTCAGGGCCTCTTAGAGTGGACATTTGTGCCTTCGGGTCCAGGTTTTGGTCACATGGGGTCCATAAGTGGAGAAAGAAGCTCAGAACATGATTGAAGTGTGAGATGACGATGCAGAAAAAAAAATCAGGAATGGACCCCTGAAATTCTTTAGCATTGTTTTGACCCAAAAACGTCTTCTCAGAACCTTCAAGTTTCAGCTTATGGTCCTGTGGGATCCAAAACAGAACCTGAACATCTGAAATCTGAGACCTCAGGTCTGGTTCTGGTTCTGATGGAGGTTTCTTTTTGGTTCTGATGGAGGTTTTTTCCTGGTTTGGGTCGAGGTTTCATTCTGGTTCTGATTGATTTATCTTCCTGGTTCTGGTTCTTTTAGAGGTTTCTTCCTGGTTCTGGTTCTGATGGAAGTTTCTTCCTAATTCTGGTTCTGTTTTTTTCTTCTTCTTTCTGGTTCTGTGGGAATTGGACTCATTTGGAGCTGTACTTGTTGAACTTGAATTGAACTGCAGTGCATTGAACTGGAACTGAAAACCAAAGGAGAAGTTCCCAGTTCCCACTTCAAAGTTTCCGACTGGCAGTGAACGTCTCACCAGATCAAACCTTCAGTATGTGGGCTTGAAGGCAAAATGAGCCCCGACACCCCTCAGAGCGGATTTTTCTGTTTGAAGTGACGCTTCAAAGCTCAGAAACGCGTCAGTCTGAGAAACATCATCTGCCTGAAATACGGAAATACAGAAAAAAACTGAATCCAGACCGAACCAAGAACCAAAAAACAAAAGGAAAACAGACGAGAAAGAAAGATGGCGGCTGGACCAGGATGGAGAAACTAGGAATAACCAGGTCCAAATCCCCAAAAAACCCAAACGGAGCTTCGTCCTGCTGCTTCTGATCCCTAAAATCTGATCCCCCCCCCCATCCCAGTGTGTCCGATTGGTCTATCGCCCCCCAAAAGCGAATTTGCGGCCATGAATTTCCCATCTGCGCGGACGCAGAATCTGATTAAGGAGGCGGCGCCATGTCAACATCCAGCCGGGTTTCTGCCGCTTGCATCAGCCTGATGCCGCGCAGATAAAGCCGCACCTTTTGTTGGAATTGTCAAAAACTGTCACAGTCTTTATCTGACGGGAGCCGGGACCGCCACACAAAACGTTACCGGGGGGGCTTTTTGTTTTTTTTGTTTTTTTATTTTCCTTGTCTAAACTCAGGTTGGACCGGAGGAAAATCCACTCAGCTTTAAAAGACAATATTCGAGTAAAAGATTAAATAAACACTCAACAGATCGTGCTTTTAAAGGAAAGTGGTTGAAAAGTCTCGATTCTGGTTAGGTTTTTGCACCGATTTTGACATAAATAGCAAAAAAAAAACGGAGTCATTCTTTACTGGACTCCTACATTCTGGAGGATCCCGGTCGGGTTTGACGTTAAATGTCAGCAGGTGGAGCAGCATCCACCTTTTGGAAGAGGACCGGATGGACCGGCATGTGTTAAAGAGAGGGTTTAGTTAAGTTTAGTTTGTTCACTTTAAGGCTTTGTGTTGTTTTGTGACTTAAACTTATTTCAGCTCCTCGGTTCCCCGCTCTCTGGGTCCCTCCCCCTGTTCCATTCTGATGATTTCCACTAAAAAACCAGCTTCTATTGACCCTTTAAAGCCTGATGCAAGACAGAAAATGCAGGGGAAATAGTTTTTTATTAGTCTGGAGTCTTTTATCAAGTTTATCTGACTGTGTGCAGGAAAGTTTTTACCGGGAGATGATGCAAAAGCGCTCAGGTGCAGAAGATTGCAGAAACAGTGAGTATGAAATATGACGGATCTGCTGCTCCGGGCTTAAAATAGAAAACGAATCCCCACAAAAAAACCGAGTGAGGCCGGCCGACGTGAGGCGGAACCAGATAGGATCTGATCCCCCCTCTGCCGGTTCTGGCTGTGGCGGGGAGCTAATTCAAAGCTTCCTGATTGGCGGCTGAGTGACACGGCGACACCTTCAGATGTTTTATTCATGGCGGGCCTCCGTCCGGGCGGCGGCGGCCTGACAGGGACGGGCCGAGGACGGCGGGATGTCTCATTCCCCGACTCCTCCTGATAAGGTTTGGCAAAAGCCTTTAAATGGCAGTGACAGGTGTCGGCCTCCAGACTTCACTTTACATCACTCTGCTGTTAATTTTCCCCCCTGTTATCTCTCTGCTCCTATTTGTCTCCTTCTCATTCCCCTCAGACTCCTCTGTCTTTCATTTGGAGAGCCCCCCCCCCCCTCTGATTGTTCCTGCCTCCGGCGCTGTTGTTTTGCAGGCTGTTGCCGACGTTCGGCGGGAAAAAAAAGTGTTTTCTCAGCTGTTTTATTCATTTTCTTTATCTTGCCACAATATTCCTCTCATGCTTAGGGGATTAAATTATTTTGCTGCGACATCCTCGGCTCTTTCTTCCCTTTCTTTCTCCTACAGAAGGAGGAGGAGCAGCCTTGAATCTTCTCTTTTGGCCTGAGATGCTCTTTGGGAAGGCGACTGTGACACCGGGGGGGGGGGGGGGGGGCGGCTGGGGGGGGATCCTGTAGCGGAGGGTGCTACTTAAGGCTTCATCTGTTGGGGTTGCCAGTTTTCCCATTTCTCTCCGGCTCCTCCATAAAGAAAATGTTCTCTTGGTTTGGAAGATCCATTATTTAGAACTGAAGAGGTGTGATGTTGGAGGAAATGGACCGAAGTCAAGTGTTACAAGAATGGAAAACATTTTGGTTGTTAGCATGTCGGAGAGGAAGCTCCTTTTCAATCCAGTGCTGATAACTACAAAATGGCCCCAACTCAAGGGATGAGCCAGCGTCAAATTCAGCAAAGCAGCAGTTTAAAGTGAATTAGACGTATAAAGTTACGTTTAAAAAGTCTTCAGACATATTTAATTTCTTTATTTTTTCGCTGAAAGCATCCAGACGTCCTTTAAAATTTTCTTTAGTGATACTTATCCAGGATTTCTGAGGTATTTTGTTCGGATATTTTCTACTTTTTCACTGATTTTTGGTCCAGTTTTAATCTTTAGTGAGTCAGAAAAAGGCCCCTAACTCAAGGGATGAGCCAGCGTTGTGTCAAAGCTGCAGCCTAAAGTAGATCTTCAGGCTCTTTCTCACAGAGACACATCATTTGGTCCATTTCTGTAGCTGATGGAGGAAAAAGGCCAAAGAAAACCCAGTCTGACGGACAGGAAACAGGATTTCTGAGGATTCCCAAAGAGCTGCTGGCTGGAAACCGGACAGATCTCAGCAACATTTGAGGAAACGGGACAAGTGGAGGACATAAGAAGAAGAGTTGGTCCTTAAAAACTCTGTAATCCAGCAGATGAAGAGGATCTGAGAGTGAGGTCCTTCAGAAAGAGGAGCAGATCCAGCAGAGAGCTGAACAGGAGCTGAGAGCTGCATCTGGACCTCCAGCTGGTCAGCTCCTGGTGGCCACATCAGAAATGCTCTCCATGAAGGGGGGCTGTCAAGAAACCACTCTGAAGGAGGTAAAACAGGGAGGAAAGGCATCGCTCTGCCACCAGGTTGACAGCAGAAGCAGAGAAGCAGCAGCACAAACACAGCGATGCAAAATGACCCACATATGCCCTGTGGTGCACTGGAAGAAGTAGCTTTAATTTCCCACAGGAGTGGGGGGGGTTACCGTCACCAGGCAACAAACTCCCATAATTACTTGGGGGATTAAACAGCTAATACAGATTCGATATTCAACCCTCTGTCCCTGTTTATGAGGACTCAGATAAAAAAGGGGAAATATCTGTGTTTCTCTGTGCGTGGCTCGTTTGTGTGGACAGAAGTATTAACAACCGGGATGTGAGGCAGGTTTCAGCAGCAAATGAGTCAATAAGAAGGGAGGCCAGAACAGCACATTTCACTCTAATGAGTCGTAAATGTTTGAACCCGAAAGGTCAGAGCGGATTCTGCTGAGTTACCAGCAGAATGACCAGTGTGAGATGAGCTGCTCTCCATGTGAGGCTGGTACAGGAGGGAATCTGCCCACAGGAGTTTGTTCTGACTCTAACAAATTAAGCTTAAGGACAATTGTTTTTTTGTTTTTTTTATTTCAGAAAATTTAGGTCAGAATCAAACCTTGGAGGAAATAAAAAGAAGAGTTTGTCTTTTTTTATGTATGATCAAATGATAAATGAGGATGCTTAATGCTCACAAAATGGGGATGAATGGGGCTTTTAGGGTCAGTTGGACATGACAGCATTAAAAAAAAAGCAAAAACAAGTAAAGCCTTCTAAATTCCCCCTTTGAAACGTTTTTGAAACGGCAGCTAACACGTGAGCAGTGACTTTATTGTTGATTCACTTGTTAATGGCTGCTAATGGGAAGTTTAACAGATAATTCTGGGTTGTTCCATTACTGTGTCCATTACGGGCCAGGGAAACATGCTTATTTCAAATTATTGATTTCAAATGCTTGTTTTGGAGTCTGAGTGAATTCCATTAACATGAAAAATGAAAAACAATCCCAGGAATGACCATTTTGCGCAACGATTTTCCACAGGCTTGTTTTGCCCATTTGACCAAAGCAGGTTCACATATTCATCTGTGTGTGTTAGTTTATTATGAAGCCATTTTCAGTCCAAAACGGCTATTTTCCTAAAGCCTCTGTGCTCTCTGATGTCCACACAGGGCGTTTCACTTCCTGCAATTTCATTTATTTGTTTTTTGTGGGGTCAGAAACCTGAGAGAGAGTGAACAAACGACTTCCTATCATCCCTTTCACCGGCTTTTCATTTAGCTTGTGAGAAACTGATGACATCACGACTGCTCACAGGCAGGCAGAGGGTGGAGGAAACCAGGCGAAAGTGGAATAATGGTCCTAAACTCTGATGTGATGGAAGCAGAATAGGAGTTTAACAGCTGGCCGGATGCATCCTGAGATGTTCCCACTCTGCAGAGGTCCAGACCTCCTGAGAGAGGTTCTGGGAGCCAAGGCTCTTATGGACAACCCAAAGGCTGGCCCACGTTTTGGGATCCGACAGAGGAGCTCCTGTGGTCCGTTGCATAGCAACAGAGCAGTCAGGGGGCCCATGGCGACCCGTGGGCTCGCCAAATGAGCACTCTTCAGAGTCATTTTTCCTTCCCTGCTGGGAAAATGCTTCAAAAAGTGGTCGGAGGAGCTCCACAAAGCGTTGGAGGATTAGATTTGGCCTTTGGGTTCTCCAGATGACTAATCCAACCGAACATCTGAGGGGAGTGGCGAACAAACGACGGGCAGATGGTCGGCAGGCCGTCAGAGGTCTGCATGGGTCCTCAACAGATCAGATGTGTCTCCTGTTGCTCTTCTGTTCAGTTTATCTAATTTACATAAACCTGTTTGCATTAAGCAGACATTTTTGTCTAAAGCAACTAATAAAGAAAAGATGACAACTAACACTTTATAAAAGTCTTTTGAATCTGTGTCACTGGAGCCAAGAAAGAAAGTAAAAGATTCAGCCTTTTACTTCCTGCCTTTTCTCTTGGTTCCAGTTCTTTGGTCCCTACCTGTTTGATATAATCTCTTGGATCCCATTTATTGGTTCTGGTTTTTTGTGCCTCTCAGTTCTTGTCTCTTGGATTCCATCTCTTGGTTCCAGTTCTTTGGTTCCTACCTGTTTGATTTAATCTCTTTGATCCCTTTCATTGGGTCCAGTCTTTTGGTTTATACTTCTCAGTTCTTGCCTCTGGGATCCCATCTCATGGTTCCAGTTCTTTGGTTCCTACCTCTTTCATCTCATCTCTTTGATCCCAATCAATGGTTCCCGTCTTTTGGTTCTCTCTTAGTTCTCTTTGTTAGCTTTTGGTTGCTGTGTCGTGAATCCCACCTCTTGGTTCCTGTCTTAGGTCCATCAAGAGGGTTTTGGAGTGCTCGGGGCCACTAATGAGCAGGACCTGAACCAGGAACCTGTAGCTGGTTGTTCAGGATGGGTCACATGCTCAGAGAAGGTCAGAAGTCACCAATCAGGACCAAAGTTCCTGAGAGGGAACAAGTGGGCGTTTGGCTTCAGTCCACCTGTGAAACTCCAGCATTCGCATTTCTCAGAAAAAGGAGCTCATTTCTCATCTAAAAACCAACAGGAGCACGGATCTTATTGACTGAAGACTGTTTATCTCGCTCAGTTCCCAGTAGAAAGAAAAAGGGGAATGAAAGTTGTGTCCTTGCTGGAGGTGGATGTGTTTTGCTGTGCGACGTGTTTATGGACTAATATAACCAGAGGCAAAAGTGTTTTGCATTAAGCAGCTTTGGGAGCGAGTGTGTCGGGGGGGGGGGGTCGAGCCTTGCTGCTGTTAATAATCTATTAGAAGGGTGAGAAATGGCTGGTGTGTCAGGGGTTAGGGAGCAGTCGCCTGAGGGGGTGAATGAAATCACTCCTCACAGTGAATTTTTAATCATTTCATTAGTTAAGTTATTGGTGAAGCAAAACAAACACGCTTTTGACATCCAGCAGATCCATTTATTGATCAGCAAGTCTTTTTTTTTGCATTTTGATGGAAACACAAAGCCTCTTTAAGCTTCTTTTATATTCAGAACATCTGAAAACTTAGAGAGTTTTGAGGCGGCCCCTTCTCTGAGGCCGGGCCCACGATAATGAAATTGAAGTAGAGAAACTTTTGGGCTTCCTCTGATGTCTTCACCTGTTTCCGGCGGCTCTTTGCCTGACAGTTTAACCACCATCAGCGGCTGTTTACGACTCAAAGGAGAACCTGTGACAGTCGTTCCAAATGTGTGAGACATCCTCTGAGGTGGCGTGAAATTCATGCATTATTTATTACAGCGGAAGCTTCAGCTGTGAAGAAGAGGAGGCGCCACTGACCTCAGCACAAATTCCCCTATTACAGCTCTGATCCATCACAGCAGTGTGAATAAAGCATAAATCTGGGGCTCCTTGACAGGTAAGAGGACCTGAAACAGCTCATAGTTCTGTAAAAAAAAGCTTCACACACTCTCTATCTGGCCTTTTCTTGTTTTGTGCTACCCGTTTTGGTTATCTTGGAGCTTTTAGAGCTTTAGGTCTAGCCCAAGAAATCTTATTTCTCGACAAAACCAATTAACAATTAACCCTTTAAAGCCTGATCCAAGAATAAAACAAAACAGAAAATAAGTTTTTTTTGGTTTGAATTCCTTATTTGGCCTTTTAACAAAATATGTAAAAAGAAAAAACAGAAATACATTTTTGATATTAATAATTTATTACTATGCGATAAGTAAATATTATCTTTTGTGTAGTCTCCTGCCCCCTGTTATCAGGTGTATCTGATTGTGTACAACAGGATTTTGAGCAAAGTTTTTACCATTAAATTATGCAAAACATTTCAGAAACCGTATGTATCAAATATTATACATTTGGCATAATAGGGTTAACTAACTAAGTTTACTCCTACACTAAATCCAAAACAGGAGGTCCAAAACAAAAAGGAAAAACATACCAGGAAGAATTTAATACATATTCTGCAATTAGTCTTGGGGAAAAGGAAACTTGGATGTATTCAATTTAGGACTCAATCAATTCAAATTTTTATCGCATCACAACATTTCGTCTCTAGGCTCATCAATAACTCAGATTAATCAAAATCCAGTCAATACAAGCTTAATAAAAACATGTAATTCAAACAGAAACCATTAAAAAAAAGTTCTTACCCAATGAAACTAGCAGATTGCACCAACTTGTCTTTTCAATCCGGATCCTCCATCTAGTGCAGGAGGCGACTGTGGAGAGAAAAACTCAGTCAGAACCAGAACCAGTTTTGTGGATCTGACTGGATGCCAAGGAAGAGAAGCTGAAACTGCAGGAATCCAGTCTCTACATTTCTACCTTTCATTACATCTTTGGCTGTAAATATACTGAAGGAGGAATAATCAATAAACCAGTGAGAACAGATCTTGGCTCACAGGCAGAGAAAGTGTACGAACAAAAGAAAAAAAATAAGCCGCTAATCAGAATAAAAACCCATGGAAAATCCAACAAAGAGCCAATCAACACACGCAGAAGCCGGGTTATAAAGGTATCTTAGCACGGCTTAGCCTCGGGTCAGACATATTACCTCGATAACAACTCTTAAAACAAGCCTCACAAAGAGGAGAAATGCAGACGAATGTGGGAGTGAGTTCAGTCTGTTTCTCAATGTGTCCTCAGAGCAATAATAACTCCTGTGTTACAAGTCGGCTTCTCGGCGGCTCACAACTTCCCCCGCAGGAGGAAGCGACTTCTCAGATCCGCGCGGCCCGCTGCAGTGCCCCTAATAAGTGAGAATAAAGGAAATAAAAGGCAGAGGATGTGAGAAACAAGCCTGTGTCTCTTGTTCAGAGGAGAGACTTTGTGTTTTCAGCCCAAAACGCTGAGGTCGCCTGATGGGGGACTGGAAATGATGGGAAGGGGGTGATCCGGGGAGGCTTTTCTAGGGGGGGGGGGTGCGGCCGATGGGGAAAGGTGAAGCCTTGTCCTTAAAGGGCAGGAGGCTGAGCCCATTACAGCAGCTCGGTCTGAGCGGGAGCTCCTCTGGGGTCCTCATTACAGTGTGTACACAGCAGGACTCACCAGGAAGTGCTGACCCACCAGATCCCTCAATCAGACTCTCCGGAGCAAAGTGGAGCCCTGTGAGCCGGGGCCTCCGCTGTCAGTCAGTAGTCCGGCGGCCGGGTCAATGAGTCCAGCGGCCGCGGGCTCTTCTGCCCGCCGTTACCATGGCGGGAATCTTTTTTATGATAATTACAAGATTTCTTTTCGATTCCGACTGTGATTTCTTCTCTTTTTACGGACATAAAGAGTGTGAAGCAGCAGGAGGGAAACGGCGGAGAGCACGTTTATTCCTCCCCAGAAACAAAGCAAACTTAAAGTTCAGTCAGCAGTTACACTCAGTAAAGTTTCAACTTCATGGCTCGTGAACATTAAAATTGACTCTGGTGCAAATAGAACAATTCCAACGAGGGTTTTTTCTGTAGTTTAAAGCTGGACGGAGGACCTGAACTCTGCTTTTTTCCTGCTGCTGCCTACAAGATTCATTTCACCTTTTCTGTGCAGGTTATCCTCCTTCGCACAAACACTAAGACACAACGGGCAACGCAGCACAAACCTAACAAAATAAAGAGTTTCCCAGAGTCCTGGAGGGATTCGGCTGGAGGGTTCCGGGTCTTTCTGTGGGCAGACTTTTTCCAACCGAAATACAGAGGATTTTATCCCATAAAAATGGTAAAATGATGGCTTTTAATGGCTCTCGGTGCCAGTTAGCCGTCACAGGGCCCAAAGCTTGCTAAAGCCTTGAGCTGTCTCAGGTTAAAATAACTAATTCATGACTTTTTCTAGCTAAAACACTGTTTACCTGTCAATGTGCAGCAGCCCGCCGCAGAGCCTGCTACCGCTCCGCGTTCAGTCTCAGAGGCTCTGGTAGACATTTCATATCTGAAAACCAAATTGTCCAAATGGATGAACAGGCTGTGCTCTGTTCATTTCCACCTCTTTAGCCAGCTGGGCCGATCCCTGTTCTCCCCAGAGCCAATTAGAAGGCTTAAAGCCCCAATCTGTTAGTCAGTTTGCACCCCAATGAGCAGCCTGATCATGTCTAATCCAGCTTCAAAGATCAGAGCTGGAGTAGCTCTTAGCTAACGCTAAAGATTCAGGTTTTTTAGCTGCTAACAGGCTAACACTAAGACCACTGCTCTGTCCATCAGTTCTTATACTTAACTGGCTACTATGGATATTAACAGTGGTTTAAAAATGTGGCTTTTGAGTTGAGTTGATTCAGTTGTCGCTCATATCGTTGCGTATGTATCAAATCTCCCTGAAAGCGATCCAGCTAAAGGGCCAAACTGCAGGTTTTGGTGGGTGATGCCAGTCAAAGCTGCGTCTCATGAATAGCATGAAAGCCGAATGTTGTTTCCACACAATGGGCGTCCCCCTGTTGTCAGCCTGAGCCATTATGCCACGAGCAGGGGCGTCCAGAAGCTGTTTATCCCAGATAATGTGGCAGGACTTCCCTTTTGGCTCCCCCCGCTGCCGTCCTGATCCTAATGACTGATTACGGAGCCTGTTCTCCACGGCTTTGCGGGGAACGCACGAACATGAATGAAACATGGTTTCAAAAGAGGGTTTCGGGGTTCAGCAGAGGCGAAAAATGGATTTCCCCGCATTTATCTTGCATGCAGAATGTTTATCTACCTATCACCAGGGTGACTTTTAGCATAAACACACAGAAATAAACATCGTTCAAGCCAAAGGGAAGCTGGGATTTCTCGTGATGCTGCATTTGGCTGTGGTGGGGGGGGGGGGGGGGGGGGGGGGGGTGGCTAATGATACAGAAAACAAAGGCCTGACCTTTGACCCCGGCCCTGGGGGGTGGGGGACTCCCCGTGGAGCCTGGCTGCTGATGTGCTTGTTGGCGTCGGTGTGCAACAACCTGCCGATGGAGCTCTGCCGGCCAGCGGGGGGGCCGGAGCTGCACGCTGCCCTTTCTGTTGGCTCAGCCACATGCAGAGCGCCCCCCCCCTCAGTCCCCTCCATCCCCCCCAGTCCCCTCTGCCCCCCCGCGCCCACCTGCAGGGACCACGTCAAAGAATAAAGGCCTCTCACATGGCTCTGCACACTCCATCTGGTCCCACTCGTTTGAACCGATCTGTGGACCGTATTGGGACCGTCTCTGGACCATCTGTGGACTTTCTGTGGACCTTCTGTGGACTGTCTGTGGACAAGTCTGTGGACCTTCTGTAGACCGTCTTTGGACCTTCTGTGGATCGTCTTTAGATGGTCTGTGTACAGTCTGTGGACCTTTTGTGAACCGTTAAAACTAAGGAAACCAAAACTGGTAGCTTAAAACACAAGAAAAGCCCAGAAAGAGAGTGTGTGAAGCTTTTTTACAGAACTGCAGACCTTCTGTGGACTGTCTTTGGACTGTCTTTGGACAATCTGTGGACCTCCTGTGGACCGTCTCTGGACCATCTTTTGACCGTCTGTGGACCGTCTTTGGACCATCTTTGGACCGTCTTTGGACTTTCTGTGGACCATCTGTAGACCGTCTGTGGACCATCTGTGTAC